GTGCCACGGTGGCGAGATGTTAACTCCCCCTCCTTGTATGCAGGAGATCGTGGGTTCGATCCCGACTCTGACACCTGTATATTTGGAGTTTGCATGTCTTTCTCCCCGTGCTCACGTGCATTTGTCTCTGCGGCTTCTGGGTTTTCCCTCCACATTTAGAATCAACATCAGTATTTGGCTGCTATGAATGTCCATGTGATAAGCCACTTCGTTGAGGTATCATTTGTGCCCATGTCGCTTCTGAAATAGAGATGTGTAACTCAGTGGCCCTTGCTTGGTATAATAAAAAAAAGTCTAGTTTTCATACGTGGCTTGGGGAGGCCATCATCCAGCAGTGCATTGACCATGGCTGATCATGATGGTGAGGCATCCGTCGTACGTATCAATGGTGATTCTGGTTCAAACTGACTGGCTGGGCTTGGGTCAATTCTAGGCAAGCGGTATCAACCAGAATATCCATTAAATGTATTGCATTGGCATAGGCCCCAGGGCTTCTCTTGACCAGCCAGACCCCATCGGGCCTCCCTGTTTTTCCAGATCGCTATTCCGTGCTCCACACAGCCGAGCCACACCCCTTCACTTCACAATTTCATGTTTTGTACCGATCGTATAATCCCATTAGGAATTAGATTCTAAGAAACGAATCCAATAGCAAAAATCATGATTCCAGGTTAAGAACATGTGAGACTCACCAAGCTGTGGTAGAACACAGCTCTTTTACTTACGCACGTATTTGATGTGAATGAAATTGTTTGATGCTCAACATGTTTGCGTTTAGGTACATATTTACACACACCAAAGAACAACGTATGGTTGGTATTCCTTATTACAGTATTTCTTTAGCTTTCCTGAAATGTAAGAAGTGTTCGCACATTTTGTTCAGTTTTTACATCATATTGTTTCCAATGCTGAAGAATATTCGTTGGTAATACGTTACATTTCTGAGTGACACTATCTGTAAAAAATCGTTATGTTATATCTGCTCAATTATATTAGAGTCGGCTATTGCTTGTAATTAATATTTTATTACTTAAGAACCATAGATTGTTTTACGTGTGATAGTCTCCTCTATCAAGATCTCTTAAGTGCCTGCCATGAGTGCTGTGTACTCTTAAGAACTCTTGAAATGAAGCTGTCAAGCCTTCAGTTGTGATCACAGGTAGGAATGGGAAAGTGCTCAGATATGTAAAGGTTGCGTTCTTCACGAAATTTCTCTCATCGTCTCCGACAGGCTCTTTATGAAAAGAGCACTTAAAGGTTTAATGCATCCATCCATCGTTGGGTCAAATTTCCATAAAATACTTTTAATTTACAAGATGCATGAGCATAATGACTTCCTAAAGATCCTGGCGGCTAGCTATCTATAGTCACAAATTTGTTATGCTCTCGTTTGCAACATCTTTCCTGTGATTTAAATTGACCTGATCGGGGACTTTGACAATGTGAATAAATGCAAAGCCTACTTTTATGGTTGTATTCCAGTGGCGTTTATTTTAAAAAGGACATGACCGCACACACTTTGTATGAATGAACTCTGGATTATTCTGCCATAACAATTATGAATAATTTACTTTCAACTTAAACTTGCCATCCAGTATAAAAAAGGACTTGTACATACAGATATGACAAAATAGAGTGCTCTCACGTTACGCGGGTAATTTTCGATTCGCAAATTTAACATTTTATACTTCACATACAAAACGTCGGGCGATTGGTGGCACAGCGGATGAGCACACTGCCCTTTGAAGCCAAGCGACCTGAGTTCAATTCCTCGAACATGAGTACTGTATTATCTGGACAGGTCCTGCGCTCCCACTTCACGAACCCACATTGGCGAGCGTGGTGAAGCATGTGCAAACAAAACGCCATTATTTTAACAACACAATTATGAAGCAATTACTTTTAACCTATCCTCAAAATCACATAGTTCATGGTCACCGTGAGTGCATTGTGTTTTAAAACCAGACACATGAGTCGATTGCAGGCCATGACCAACATCACTTGTGAGTGATTTCTAGACCAGCCCAAAGCACCATTTAAATTTGCACTGACCAGTGTGGTGAAGTATAGTCAAACAATTATGAGACCTCCTTTGCCATAAACAAGATATAGGAATAGGTTTTACCCTTTTAACTAGCACAAAAACTGACACCTTTATTCAAGGCATCATGTTTGCAATGACCACAACACAAGCAGTCAAAATGCAAACAAAAAAGACAACTCTGATAATAATATGCACTGTCCTTGAATTTGATTGGTCTCCACCCGAGACAGCTTTTCTTAGAGCCTAGTCTCCATTGGTGTTGGACCAGAAGACGCCAAAAGGCGTACAACTCAAAAACAGCGCACTATCAGAGTATTGAGGGCTCGGGGTGAGCATTAACATTATGAGACCTCCTTTGCCATAAACAAGATATAGGAATAGGTTTTACCCTTTTAACTGGCACAAAAACTGACACCTTTATTCAAGGCATCATGTTTGCAATGACCACAACACAAGCAGTCAAAATGCAAACAAAAAAGACAACTCTGATAATAATATGCACTGTCCTTGAATTTGATTGGTCTCCATCCGAGACAGCTTTTCTTAGAGCCTAGTCTCCATTGGTGTTGGACCAGAAGACGCCAAAAGGCGTACAACTCAAAAACAGCGCACTATCAGAGTATTGAGGGCTCGGGGTGAGCATTAACATTATGAGACCTCCTTTGCCATAAACAAGATATAGGAATAGGTTTTACCCTTTTAACTGGCACAAAAACTGACACCTTTATTCAAGGCATCATGTTTGCAATGACCACAACACAAGCAGTCAAAATTTTTGAGTTGTACGCCAAAAGGCGTACAACTCAAAAACAGCGCACTATCAGAGTATTGAGGGCTCGGGGTGAGCATTAACATTATGAGACCTCCTTTGCCATAAACAAGATATAGGAATAGGTTTTACCCTTTTAACTGGCACAAAAACTGACACCTTTATTCAAGGCATCATGTTTGCAATGACCACAACACAAGCAGTCAAAATGCAAACAAAAAAGACAACTCTGATAATAATATGCACTGTCCTTGAATTTGATTGGTCTCCACCCGAGACAGCTTTTCTTAGAGCCTAGTCTCCATTGGTGTTGGACCAGAAGACGCCAAAAGGCGTACAACTCAAAAACAGCGCACTATCAGAGTATTGAGGGCTCGGGGTGAGCATTAACATTATGAGACCTCCTTTGCCATAAACAAGATATAGGAATAGGTTTTACCCTTTTAACTGGCACAAAAACTGACACCTTTATTCAAGGCATCATGTTTGCAATGACCACAACACAAGCAGTCAAAATGCAAACAAAAAAGACAACTCTGATAATAATATGCACTGTCCTTGAATTTGATTGATCTCCACCCGAGACAGCTTTTCTTAGAGCCTAGTCTCCATTGGTGTTGGACCAGAAGACGCCAAAAGGCGTACAACTCAAAAACAGCGCACTATCAGAGTATTGAGGGCTCGGGGTGAGCATTAACATCATGAGACCTCCTTTGCCATAAACAAGATATAGGAATAGGTTTTACCCTTTTAACTGGCACAAAAACTGACACCTTTATTCAAGGCATCATGTTTGCAATGACCACAACACAAGCAGTCAAAATGCAAACAAAAAAGACAACTCTGATAATAATATGCACTGTCCTTGAATTTGATTGGTCTCCACCCGAGACAGCTTTTCTTAGAGCCTAGTCTCCATTGGTGATGGACCAAAAGACGCCAAAAGGCGTACAACTCAAAAACAGCGCACTATCAGAGTATTGAGGGCTCGGGGTGAGCATTAACATTATGAGACCTCCTTTGCCATAAACAAGATATAGGAATAGGTTTTACCCTTTTAACTGGCACAAAAACTGTCTCGGGTGGAGACCAATCAAATTCAAGGACAGTGCATATTATTATCAGAGTTGTCTTTTTTGTTTGCATTTTGACTGCTTGTGTTGTGGTCATTGCAAACATGATGCCTTGAATAAAGGTGTCAGTTTTTGTGCCAGTTAAAAGGGTAAAACCTATTCCTATATCTTGTTTATGGCAAAGGAGGTCTCATAATGTTAATGCTCACCCCGAGCCCTCAATACTCTGATAGTGCGCTGTTTTTGAGTTGTACGCCTTTTGGCGTCTTCTGGTCCAACACCAATGGAGACTAGGCTCTAAGAAAACCTGTCTCGGGTGGAGACCAATCAAATTCAAGGACAGTGCATATTATTATCAGAGTTGTCTTTTTTGTTTGCATTTTGACTGCTTGTGTTGTGGTCATTGCAAACATGATGCCTTGAATAAAGGTGTCAGTTTTTGTGCCAGTTAAAAGGGTAAAACCTATTCCTATATCTTGTTTATGGCAAAGGAGGTCTCATAATGTTAATGCTCACCCCGAGCCCTCAATACTCTGATAGTGCGCTGTTTTTGAGTTGTACGCCTTTTGGCGTCTTCTGGTCCAACACCAATGGAGACTAGGCTCTAAGAAAAGCTGTCTCGGGTGGAGACCAATCAAATTCAAGGACAGTGCATATTATTATCAGAGTTGTCTTTTTTGTTTGCATTTTGACTGCTTGTGTTGTGGTCATTGCAAACATGATGCCTTGAATAAAGGTGTCAGTTTTTGTGCCAGTTAAAAGGGTAAAACCTATTCCTATATCTTGTTTATGGCAAAGGAGGTCTCATAATGTTAATCCTCACCCCGAGCCCTCAATACTCTGATAGTGCGCTGTTTTTGAGTTGTACGCCTTTTGGCGTCTTCTGGTCCAACACCAATGGAGACTAGGCTCTAAGAAAAGCTGTCTCGGGTGGAGACCAATCAAATTCAAGGACAGTGCATATTATTATCAGAGTTGTCTTTTTTGTTTGCATTTTGACTGCTTGTGTTGTGGTCATTGCAAACATGATGCCTTGAATAAAGGTGTCAGTTTTTGTGCCAGTTAAAAGGGTAAAACCTATTCCTATATAGTCAAACAACCCGATGACCAACATGGCACGGGTAACCATTCATTCATCCAGCATTGGATTGACACAATACTGAAAAGCATGATAACAATTAGCAATTATTTGTACTCTCTCTAAAATTAATTGCATGATCATTATTTCCTTTCTCTTTTTTTTTAATGCACGTTAATGTTGGACACGGCGCTGGACAAATGTGACAGGTAAACCTTGAGGATGATGCACAGCTAGACTTGTACGGGATTAGAAATGCCATTGCTCAGCCGTCGACAGATGAATTGACCAACGGTGGGAAGTGACACGTACAGCTGCTGGCTGGCCCCCAAGAAGTTTATAGCTCTGTTTAATAAGGATGAACTTCGCCGGAGAGAATGGGTCTACCAGGTGAAAAATAAGCTGCTCCTTAGCACAGTGCTGGGAACTTGATTAATGTTGCTCGAGCCACAATGGACACCGACAACAATTGATCCATGTGATCAGTGTTAATATTAATAATGGAATAAAGCCAAGAGGAACACACGTTTTTCCTCTTCTCGTTTTCACTTGAAGCGAAACGGTTTACATTGTGATGACTGCAATCTAATGGATTTTGGGGGAACATTTAAATTGAAATGTGCTATTATAATTCCCTCAAATGAAGATGTTTTTTCCTTCAACATATTGCATTTTTGCGGGATAATTATATTTATGTTGGCAATTATAAAAAGGAGTGTCTCACTGGCTACAGTGTTGTGAAAGCCTCTGCACTTACAACCGTTTGCTACAATTCAAAGGACCAAACAGCTATTTGTATTTTTTCCCCCGGTAGAGCAAATTCTCTATTTTTATAGTGCCTCCGGATGTGATGAATGCAGTGCTTAACTTATGCATCTACGGTCCATTATTCTGACTCTGGAAGTCAAATACAGTACTGTGTAGTCTTCCTGATATTCCCCATGGCTTCAGTGCTGAAGACGAAGGCACACTTTCTGAGGGTAATCCGCTCATACATTTTCATAACCGAGGTGCAGAAGGTAACCCTTGCGGAGTCAGCAGCACTCCCCGTGCAATCTGATACCTTGCATCCGACAACGAGGGAATTACGAAGCAAAGAGGGAATTATGAAGCCTTCCGTGGACTTCCTGAATAACAAGTGAAGCGATGTGCCAGCAACCCACTCGATCTGGCAGCATTTCGAGCAATGTCTTTGAGCGCATTATTTGGGAGAATGTCTTCACTCTCACCCCGGGCTGAAGGTATGTTATGGGCGAATGGACGAGTGATCTGGGAATTGCTAAAAATGTGTGTTGTACGATAGAGCACACGCACGCTTTCAAGCGAACTGTTCGTTGGAGTTTAAAAGCCTTGTGAATTTGACGACTTTTGGTGAGCGCAGCGTTTCTTTTTCCCTTCTTTGAACTTTCTCCGTTCTCAAATGCATAATTTAGCACATGTCAATGAAGTAACATATTCTAGATTTCCCCTAACTGCTTATCATGGCCTCACGTAGAAGCATTGTTTAACGAAACAATGCAATACATTATCGTAATTACATTGTCTATATTTGCTCACGGAATGGCCGTTTTCAGTTACAGCCATGACACAAATTAAACAGCACATTGCATAAGCATGTTTGATAAAGTCGAAGATTTTGCGAGTTGTTTGACACAATTAATGATAAAGGGCTTTACATTTGCCTATTTTAAATTAGGGAAGCAGTAGCACAGCGGTAAACCTGCACCAGGAGATTTCGGGCACCACGGTGGAGAGATGTTAACTACCTTTCCTGGTATACAGGAGATCGTGGGTTCGATCCCCACCCTGACGATGCCTGCTGCTGTATATTTGGAGTTCGCGTGTCTCTCTCTCTCTGTGGTGAGATGTTAACTATTTCACCTGGTATACAGGAAGTCGTGGGTTCGATCCCGACCCTCATGCCTGCTGCTGTATATTTGGAGTTCGCATGTTCTCCCCATAGTCACATGGATTTTTATCCGGGCCCAGCGGTTTTTACCTCCACATTTAGAAACGTACCTTTGGAGTATTTGGCTGTTATAAACTTCCACGTGATAAACGACTAAATTGAGTCTATCATTTGTGGCCAGGTCGCTTCTGAAAAAAAGCAACGCAGCCCAGTGGGCCCTACCTGGTAAAAAGTAAAAACAAAAATATAGAAATATGTTTTACCTGGGGTTTGATTTGTTGCCATCAGAATAGAGTGATACCCATCGGTGGTGAGCGATATTGTCAGCGATGAGATATATCTCAACTAATCCTAGGACCCCCCTCCCTCACGAACCCACATGACCGGCACGGTGAAGTCTGATCAAACAACCCCCATGACCAACAACACGACGTGGGGTCGCCTTAATTCAGCAGTAAATTGGCAAAGGTTTGTAAATACTGTATTTGTTTACTTACTTATTTATTAACTTGAAATGCATTTTCTGAGTCTTCGGCATTGAGCAGGTTCATAGGGATGCTAAGCTCCTGCCGTTTGCATGAAATATGCCCTCAAGGCCATCCAAGATATATTCATGTATTCACTTTTACAGAAATAGCAGGGATGCTGCCATGGTGCGATGAATGGTTGGCACACTGGACTTGCAATAGAGGTCACTGGTTCATGCTCCTGATGCAGCAGTTGAAACAATGGAGCAAGTTTCTTGACTCCCCGCTTGCTGGCTTCTGTCCACCTCGTCATATTAATGGGTGCACCACAGGTCGTAGATCGGTACAGTACGTGTGTGTGTGTGTGTGTTGGGGTAAAGTGTAGGGACTCCCGCCTCTTCTAAATGTATTGGACGAGTTGGCCAAATTCCATCTGGATGGGCTCTCTGGGCGAGCCCCTTCCACCGAACATTTGTGATACTGGATATCTGTGACGAAGAGCTTCATAGCTCATCGGATTCCTCCGGTATAAATACACATTCTGATTCTGACAGTGAGAGCAAGCTGTTTCAGGGCTGAATCTTTACCCTTTACAGAAATTGCACTCTGTCACAGGTAGGCGTTTGAGAACAAGAGTGCCGCTTAATGATGGTGGCACGGTCGTTGCGTGTCGTGGAAGCCGATTGAGCATTCCCCTCATCGCATGAACGTCATTGAGATGGCTGATGGGGGATGGATGGGGGGGAGGGGCTCCACGGGGGGCGGGGGGGGGGCCCAGCTGTGAAGTGCGAGGTGGCAGAGCGAGGTCCCGGCGGTTTACAAGTGGCACAGTCGAGGATGCGCCTTGAGTACGAATCAATTACGCGCTCTGTCTTCTGCGCGACGCGAGGATGTAAAGACATGCAAGCGGACGGGGTTGCACGCGGGCACGGCCAAACGATGCGGTTGTCGGGTGGCACCGCTTGCAGCTCGGCCGTGCACGATGCTGCGCGAGCTGGCAGGCTCCTCCTGTACCCTGGAGCGAAACGTCGGACGTCCCGAATGGCGCCGCGCGACGCAACGGGAGAGCGCATCGGAGAGCTGTGCAAACCGTGAAAAAGTAACGACGACTACAACGAGGCACGGCGATGATGGTCTCGGAAGGAATGAATCACAACGGAAACTTCGAATTGGCCTCAGACTAGTGCTGCCCGGTGCTCAGTGTTGGTGTTGGATGAGGATCATCTAACTCAAAGCGGTGCGACTTGCTGTGACGAAAGTGCTTTTGCCTATTACCTGAGGCAAAACACACAGCGATTGTTTGTTTACAAAAGATCATTTAATCAGCATTTCGTTGTTGTCGTAATGAGTCATTACTTTTACATTAAGCTCAATTAACACTCTGCAGCCAGATCAACATGCGCGAGGCGGATCTCTGCAGATTACCAAGCAATATAATTCTCACACACCACTAACCCCCGTGTAATGAGAAGCAATAATGATTCTGCTGCTAATTGTCATTATATTATAAATTGTGGTGACTCAAAGTGGTTTTGTAAATACGCCTCCTCGTTAATGAAGCATTGTGCTGCTTCAGATGTGAAGTTTGCAGCAATATTTTACACACTACAAAGTCGGTATGGCACCTATGTACGTGCATATATTTAATTCAAAGTTGTATTGCTTACCATGAGATGGATTTCTGCTATTCAAAAAGATTAATCGCTTTAGAATTTGATCGTAAAACCAATCTGCAGCCCCTTGTCAATTCACTTGCTTGGGGTTTGTTTAACCATACTTCACCATGCTGGTCAATGTCCATTGGGAACGAAGGTAGGACCAGTTCGGATATAGTTCACCACAGATGGTACATGTGTAGTGTTCGATTTCACTCGGACAACTTCAGTCTTTCTTTGAACGCCGCTTTATTTACAATTGTCATTATGTCCTCCACATTCCACAGTATCCAGGTCGCCACGGCTCGCTCGCCGTGCTTCACTTGACTCGCTCGCCACCTTTGTCTCTCCACTCCCCACGATTACTTCGCTTGCTTCGCACTCAGCGACTCCGCGCTCAGCAACACCGCAACTCCGCACACAGCGTCTTCGCACACAGCGACTTCGCAAACAGCGTCTTCAGCTCCGCTATCACTACGCTCACTCCACTGCTGGCTATTCTCTTCTTCAGCTCCATTATCGCTATGCTCACTCCACTGCTAACTACTTCGTCTTTGTTCAGCTTCGCTATCGCTATGCTCACTCCACTGCTAACTACTTCGTCTCTGTTCAGCTTCGCTATCGCTACGCTTTCTCCTTCCAACTCTGTCTCTCCAAATCTGTCTCTCAACTCTGTCTTCCAAACTCTCTCTCTCAACTCTGTCTCTCAACTCTCTCTCTCAACTCTGTCTCTCAACTCTGTCTCTCAACTCTGTCTCTCAACTCTGTCTCTCAACTCTGTCTCTCAACTCTGTCTCTCAACTCTGTCTCTCAACTCTGTCTCTCAACTCTGTCTCTCAACTCTGTCTCTCAACTCTGTCTCTCAACTCTGTCTCTCAACTCTGTCTCTCAACTCTGTCTCTCAACTCTGTCTCTCAACTCTGTCTCTCAACTCTGTCTCTCAACTCTGTCTCTCAACTCTGTCTTCCAAACTCTCAACTCTCCACACTTCAATTCTCCCTGTTGACTCCAAGCTCTCCCAACTCCACGTCTTGCCTCGTCCAGCTCCCAACTCCAACTCCCCGCTCTCTGTGTGTCTCCCCAATTTATCTCCATTCTCATTACCCCTAATTAATTGGCCTGCGTGCCTCCCCACGCTTCGCGTCCTTAAACACCTGTCTTTCTCCAGACATCTCGACGCATCCTCGCCCCTGACAACAGCCCCAGCCAATCACCGCCGTTGCTGGTCCTCTGGCTTAATTGGCCCAACCGTTACCTCATCATCCTAGCCCTTGCACCTGGCTGTCCTAACATGACCCATATATATTATTATTTTGTTGTTTCTCTTCAACGTGACTTTACCGAAAAAACTAAGAATATGAATTACTGCAGTCACGAAAGCTTTAAATCAAAATATGACCCATATTGTTTTTGCCTTAGCTACAGGCTGACCCAAGATATCGCGTACTGTCTGTGTGATCATGCAATCACGCTGCCTCCACCACGCACCTTCGTACTCCACTACATCACCCCCCCCCCCCCCCCCATGATGAAAAAATCTAGCCGTCCCGGCTACGACAACACTTCAACCTCTGGGTGGTGGAGTACCTAGGACATAACAATGAACACAACATAACAACTTTGTGCAAGAACCGCAACACGCAGAGTCAATGGAAGATCCATCCTCGGTAGCGAGTTCCAGCTGCCGGCCCATTTCCCCTATACGGGACATCATGGGGCAAGGGCGGACCACGCTTCCCCGTTAAGTGAGGGCTGCGTCTCGTCCTTGACGCACACCCGTCCCTGTCCCAGCGACCATCTGCCGGCAGGACCGTCCCTCGTCCCTGCGTGGGCCGGACAGCATCTCGAGGTTGCGGCCGGTCAACCGGAGTCCGGCCAGCCAACCTGCCAGAACCCCCTCGTCGAGTCAATAGGGATGGTCCTGCAGGCACACGGGAGGCAGATTTCTGAGGCGCGTACACATGCGACCTCCTCACAGGCTCGTCGGACACATCCAATACAGGCCACTCTGGGATGGGAGATGACGCGTCATACGGCAATACAAACTTCTTAAGGCGCGACGGGTGAACATACCATATTCGACGATCGAATTGAATCTGTACACTTTGGTCCCGGAGAACCTCAACGACCTCAACGGGCCCCTGCCAGGGCCGATGGAACTTTGGAGACGTTCCCACCAGTACCATGGGGCAATGCAACCACGCTTTGTC